CCCAGCCTGCCGGCTGAGGTCCCTGCTATTCACACGGAAGGGCGGTGACATCACCACACAGGTAAGCTGACTCGCACAACCAGTAATGTCAGCCGTATGCGTTACAATATTAAACAGTATTAAACAGATAGAGCCATGACCACCAAGAATACAGTTTCAGTATCACAATATCAAAAGGATATTATAGCCTTGAGAAACATTTGGAAAGAAGATTCCTGGTCTCAGACAAGGTAGCAGGTTAAGGGTGTTAAAATATCTTCATAGTCAAACAAATGAGGACATTTGATTGAATTATACATGACCCTAAAGGGTACAGACAACAGAAATCCAGGAAACAATTTCACGCTCAGTGAAATCAAGGACATTAACCCAAAATCTGAAAATAAAAGGGAATTAATTTAGAATGGAGAAAAAAAAATCGTCTTTTTTAAGGCGTGGTGAGTGTCTGATACAGGCCGTGGGGTTGAAGCCCCATCTCTGGTCATTTTTCAAAACTGGATGGATGAAAATGTAACATTCACTGAATGACCAATCAAACAAGATGGGCCCAAGTAAACTGATTTGTAAAAAAAATTGAAATCCCTGTGACTTCAGGAAATCTCTGTAAAATATGTTCTCTCTCATTGTAACACCAGTGAGAGGGCACTGGGTATAAGGGCTTATTTTAATGAAACCAGTTTATGCTGGAGAATTGGCAGTAAATGATTTTGCCTAACTTAAAGGAGGATTCTATGGCTTGAGATATCCTTTTTGTTTGAATATCAAATTATCCATCTGTATAGCAAATTATTTATTTGAATACATACTGTACATTTTGTGTGACTGTCAAATTCTCTACCTTTTCCTGATTCTTTTAGAAATGACGTAGCACCTTAGCAAAATGCAGACATTCTAAGCTGCCCTACTTTTTTTTCAGTGACCTACATAAATGGAGTTCAGGGGCATTTAGCATTTTAACCTATTTCCAACCTTTCTGGATTGTAAAGATCACAGAATTCATGGTAAAATACAATGGCATATTATTGTGAAACAATAATTACTGTGAAATAAATATGAAACAGATTTGTGAAAATCTGTTAGAACTTCAGAGTTCAGAGTGATAGACCTTAATTTGGAAAAAAAATGTCTTAGTTGACTGATTGATCAAACTCAGCAATTATTAGGAGTTAAAAATAATAATTCAGGGATGCCATCCAGCTGTTTCTTTAAAGAAGCCAGTGTGTAAGCTCAAACAATATGGCTAAGGAGCTTGTTCCATGCTTCCACACCTCTTTGTGTAAAGAAGTGTAACCTGTTTCCAGTTTTAAATGTGTTTGCTCTTAGTTTCCATTTGTGTCCTCTGGTTTTCTAGTCGATATTTTACAGATATCAGTTCCGTGTTAACAAAAATGTGTAGTATTTGCTGTACACCCATGTTTAGGTTCCACCCAGTGCACAATTTAAAAAAGGTTAAACTAGGCTTCTTTGGTATCGTCCACAATGCGTCTTCATTTACACTTGCCCTTTGTCACTCACCGTGTTTAGCTGTAACTTGTACGTAAGCTGTATAAAACATTTAAATCGGAAACGGACTCAGAAAAATATGCACTTATAGCCAAGTCTCTTTCTATACATTGTAATTCATGACTGCACAAACCAAACATTCCAGGTAGCTGAATCGGGTTCTACAGGCGAAATATTCTACCTTTAATATGAAGTGAAATAATAGCTAATAGAGCCAGGCAAGATTCACTAGACCACAGAAACACTTTGATTACATTGTAGATTAGTGATGTACTAGCTTGAAATGACAAAAAATGCATTTTATATAATTATATCGTTTTCTTCCCCAATACAGGGTGGCGTCTTCTGCATCTTTGAAGCCCAAGAGAGAAGTGGGACTTTCTGCTATCTTAAAGATTATAGATGACAGTAGTAATTGCTTAGTGAATGTTAACGTCCTCTGTAGTCACAGATTAAATAAACATAAAAAATTGCTTTAATCTGTTTACTTTCAGTCAGATGTTTGGTGTTGGAGCCAGTCCTGCCCAACAAATCTATTACAAAGACAGTAGATTTGAAATAGGATCCTGCACATAGATGTACAATTTTAATGTCCCCTCAGCCACAGTGTCTCTTTACTGTTTCTCGGAAGCCTTTTTTGTCATTATCCCTTTTATTCTTCATCAGAAACAGGCAGTGTCATCAGAGAATATTAGGCAGCCGAAGGACTGAATTTGAAACTGTAGATAGACCCAGACTAATGGTTATTTTTGATTAATTAAATAACTAAAACTAAACCCCGAAGTAAGTGCTGGAATGCAGGTCAGTCTTTGAAAGAGTGGGTTGTTCACCTCCGAAAAGACAAAACTGGGAGAATGTAATGAATTTATGTGAAGGGGAAATGGGGAGGAGAAAATGGGAAGTTAGAGGAAGAGGACATGATCCCTCCCGAGCGCAGGAGTGAGAGCGAGAGGGGAGAGTGAAACGAGAGAACGATCTGATCTGTGAGATCTGTGACCCAGTGCCGTGTTGTTCTTGGCCCGGGCACAAACACTCTTCCCCCAGTTAGGAAAACAACCCTGGGTTTTGGGAAGAGAAAGTACAGCTGGATGTCAACAAAACAACCCCCCTCCACCTCCCCCTTCCCTCATGTGCCGTGATGATTCAGCCCACGCTGAGAGAGGAGCCAGGAGTCGCTCGGTCTGTTTGTCCATCTTGCTGAAACACAAATGCACAAACGCACAGAAAAGTGAAGAGTTGGGCAGAGGGGGGGGGAGGCAGACCCCCCTCCCTGTCCCATTTTTGACTCCGAATCCAGCTCCGGCCATTTTTAGAAAGATCCCCTGTGTGGGAGACTCTACAGAATGACTCAGCAGTGTGCCGCACAGCTGTAACATGACTGCGACTGCCGTCTTGTGCCAACTACTTCTGCAAGCTGGAGTTTAACTCTGGTTGTGGAGCTCCTGCTCCTATCGCCTCATTTGGGTCCTGAGTGAAGTTCGTTTTGGAAAAACCTTTTCCTCCGCGCATGTGTTTTAATATTTATTTAATACTTTATGTCCAAAATTCAGCAGCCAGAATCCTGACCAGGTCTAGTGCAAGTGTTCACATTACTCCTGTCCTGGAGTCCTTGCACTGGCTTCCGGTCAAATTCCGTGTAGACTTTAAAATCCTCATGCTCACCTATAAGGCTCTGCATGGCTTGGCACCTCAGTACCTGTCTGAATTATTATCGCCCTACTCCCCACCTTGCAACCTTCGCTCTTCTAATTCTGCTCTCTTTACTGTCCCCCAAGCCTGTCTACATTGTATGGGTGACAGGGCCTTGTCCTGTTATGCCCCCAAGCTCTGGAACTCTCTCCCCAAGGATATCAGAGAGTCACCTTCTCTAAACTCCTTCAAATCCAGACTCAAAACCCTCTTCTTCAGAAAAGCCTTTACTGAACTGGTTCCATTCTTCACCCCTCTGCTTTTCTTAGTACCACCATCCACAGTCTCCTCTATATATTGTAATTGTGTTTTATCTTGTGTAGTCTTCTTATTTATTGTTGTTGTCATCCTGTAAAGCGCTTTGAGAAGCCACCTTTAAAGGCGCTATATAAAATAAAGTTTATTATTATTATTAATAGATCTCTACACTTCAAACCATCACACTTGCAGATGGAGAACCCAGTAGCAAAAGTTACTTTAAAGCCAGGATGGGCAGGGTTCTGGAGTCTGCCTTCTCCCTTTGATCTTAATCTCGCCCGCTGAAGTAGTTATTTGGAAATGAAGTCAGATCACCTGTGTTGTTAAGTGGTGTTTGCCATTGTTAACTGATAAGCACCTGTGAAACCTGCAGGAGGCTGGCCCTTGGCACTGGACTCCAGACAGACAAATGCAATGCCTTCTTTCCTCGTAAACGAGCTGCGCACTGTTCTCAGTTGTCAGATCTGCTTTTCCCAATCCATGTGTGCTGAGGGTCAGCTGAGGGTTGCTGGGGTTAAAGGGACTGAATGTATCGAAGGTGTCGCACGACAGAGAGAGGTTCCTCTAACCTTCCGAGCACCTGGGAGATAGAGCAGCACTTTCATCACAGAACGCTGCAGCAGACCTCCGACAAATTCCCTGATATTTCACATTTTGGAGGAGGGGTGCCTGTTGTCTTCACTGGTAATTTAATTTGAAAAGGAAACACAAAGAGATCAAATGTAATGAAAGGGAACCACCCCCTGCTCCTTTCTGTCCCAACTTTGTTTACTGAGCTATTTTTTAACCTGGATGTGTGAGATAATTCTCTTTGAAAGTAGAAAAGACATTCTTTCCCTTTCTTCTCCTTCCCCAACCCAACTCTTAATGGATACCGTGACAAATGTTATTAAAGAAAGCAAATGTCTCTCTCCTGGGCCCCTGGATGTGCTAAATTAATCTAAAGAGGAAGTGTTTCTCCTTCTGGTGGGATTTATTTGTCTAAAAAACCCACCCAAATCTTTTTAAAAGTAGAATGGAGGAGTTGGTATTTCAGTTCCATAACTGAGCCACAATAACCCGATGGGCCAGATCTCATCACGGTTTCCATGGTTTCCATGGTGTTAATGGGATCAAAAAGTGTCCAACCCTCCCCCCAACCCCCAGGGGCACAGGGCACCAGTCCGTTGTGGGGATTACCCCCTTATAAACACTGGTTCCCATTCGTACAGGTGGCTGGTCTCAATCAAGGGTTCAACAGTTTTGTCTGAAGCCACAGACCTCCAGGTGGAGGAGCAGAGACACACCCACTTCACCATGTTGTCTGCAGAATGGAAGAGAAGGTCAAGCTTTATAGACAGAGGAGGAAAGTGTTTGAGGCTTGCTAGCCTAACGGAATCTCTGACCAGCTAGCAACCAAACGTGCAAGATAGCTCTTGTGTTCTTCAATGGGATAATGTGGCTGAGAGAGCACTTTATTACCCATATACAATTTTTTGTATTAGGAATTTGTCTTTTCACATACCCCAACATGCTCTCCATGAGACACTCAGACAGAGAGAGAAGCTTTGGGGGTCAGAGCGCAGGGTCAGCCATTTATACTGCGCCCCTGGAGCAGTTGGGGTTAAGGGCCTTGCTCAGGGGCCCAACAGAGTACGATTCCTCTGCCGGCCGCAGAATTCGAACCGGCAACCTTCCAGCCACAGGCGCAGATCCTTAGCCACACAGCCACCACACCACAGAGGTGGTCTGAGAACAGCAGTAGCAGCACCAGGCTCTGTGGCTCCTCTGCGACACTGGGACTCCTGTCTGGTCGTAATGAAGCAGTTAGCCTGGCCCCTCCACCTCAGCACACCAGAAGAAGGGTTTTAGAGCCTCTCTGCCCCAGGCCTTGTCTATATAACTCTGTGAAGACAAACATGCTCTGACTTACTGAGGTACCGTGGACAATGCTGTGAGGATACTTGAGAAGACACATTCTTTCATTCTAATTGAGCCCTAACCTCATTTATTTTCTTATGTGTAAAACACAAGTATGTGTCAACATAGTGTATCTAAAAGATTTACCCTCTCTGTTTTATATATGAATACATCTATATAAAGAATGAATGTATACAGCACATCTGTAAATACCACACATCATTCACCCATTTTCTAAATGGTCCATCCAATACAGGGTCCTCGGGCAGCTGGAGCCCAGGCATTGAGCTCAAGAATTCACCCTGAGTTTGATGCCAGTCCACTACAGGGCACACACAGACACACTCACGCCAGGACCAGCTTTTCCAGAAGCCAATTAGCCTACTGGTATGTCTTTGGACTGTGGGAAGAAACCAGAGCACCTGGAAAATCCTGTGCAAACATGCGGAGAACACACAAACTTCGCAAGGATAGCACTCCAAGGCTGGAATTAAACCCAAGATCTCAGCTCTATAAGGCAGCATTGCTGACCACTGAGCCACTATGCCACCCTCTCAGGATGTTAATTTGGAACACTTAGATTAGAAGGAAATGACTTATTCTTTGGAAAGAAGAACACTGTTGTTTGCCTTTCCCAATGCTAACCATAGTTGCACCACTGTGCAACCTATCATGTTATATTTGTATAAATGTATATGAATAATTAATTTATATATTTGTGAATATCATATACAGTATATAATATAGCACTGTACTGTACATAAATGCCCAAATTCCCTTGGAAATTAGAAATTGGAAGTCATTCCTGTGAAGCAGGAAAGACTGATGTGTGCACTGTGTGTGACTGCAATATGGCTTATCCAAGTCGGATTTGAACAGAACCAGGATAGGGACCAGGATCAAATCCCAGGGAGTAATTTACAGTAATCAATCCCAACATTCATGGTTTTGTGAGGTGGGACAAAACCTGTAGCAAACTGTGAAAATCCAGTGGGGCAGCATGCAAAAGTCTCACAGACAGAATCGAACCCAGGACCCCAGCACTGGGAGGCCAATATGAATTTTACCTGCTCTTACAGCACATTGTCCGCTCATGGAGAAAAGGCGCTGGTCATGCCACTTTGCGTGATGTTTCCCAGGACAGTTAGGAAGAGAGTTTAATTTCAGAAAATGAGCTAAATCACAACTGGCTTAAAGTACTTTAAATAAATCACATCACATGCGATGATCTTGAGCAAGTGTGAATTTCATTTCCCTAGATTTCTTTGTGACTCTGTCTCCCCAATGCATCTTTCCTAACCACATTTACAGGCCAACAAAAAAGCCAGACATTCACAGAGGCTGACAACAGTAACACAGCCTCTGTGAATTCAGCTTTGTTGATGAAATGTATGATTATGTATATTTTCAACAACACAGAAACTATGGTTGAGTGAAGACCATTTATTTTGTGATTTTAAATGACCTTAGCTTCTGACAGTTAAGCAATATCATTGGTCAGATATACCTCCACCTGTGACTTACTGACATCATGCATTTATTCCTCACTTGATCTCTAGTAGCAGCATGAAACTTGCCAAATTCGACAGGTTCCCGAAACACGATTCCTGAAACAGCTGGGGGTCACTCGGAGCATCAGGAATAGTCATTTCTTCCCGATTCCAAATGGGATCCTATGAGGGAGCGTGTGTTCCTGTGATCAGCCTCATGTGTTCCCGGAAGCTGAGGAGGAGTGAAAAGGTAATTTATGATTTTGAAACAGACTGGTCAGCTGAGAGACTTTGCCTCCAAGCTGAGCTACACCAAATGGGCTAGTGTGCGAATTCACACCAGGCCCTCATCACGCCTGTTGCTCTCCAGCTGAGTCAGTTAGTTCTAAAGAAATTCCTGGAGAAGCTCATCCGTGCTTGGATCATTGTCCATTTTCACCCCCCCTCTCCCCTCGCCTATTGCCTATTGATTTTTCCACATGCAGGACTAAATTGGCATGTATTTGAGTTGTACAAAAATGCACTATATTCGTAAGTTATGTGCAGCTCAATCTGAATAAACCTACAGTTCTACCCAGTTTATTGAATGCTTACTCAGGTTAGCTGGCATGAGCATGCCAGTTGGAGTTAAGAAACTTTTGTGAATGAACTGATATCACACATGCAGTGTATTTGCTGTTGGACACTCATGCTTCTCTTGCTTGTGATTAAAGTTGAAGCCAATACTTGAGTTTTTTCAAGGAAGGGCTGGATCAAGTACTGGGATCAATAAGCAACTAGCTCGCAAATGGTCTGGGTATTTCCTGCTCCTGTTTGTAACCTGTCTTATGTTCTCTCTAGTCCTGTGTTTGAAATACAGAAGCAGAGCGCCAATAAGTATCTTCAGGGGGTTGGATTATATAAAAGAATTGCCAGTATAACTACAGGATATGATACGATAATACTTCTTAGAGATTTGTTATCCATCAAACCGCCTATTTTTTACCCACACAAAAGCTTACAAAAGCATACAAAACAGTACAGGTAAATGTTTCACTAAAAATAAATATTACATAACAGACATCCACCCAGACACCATGATTTCTACCACGCCTGCTGGAATCCTTACAGATCCTGACCAGAGCCTGTAATTGTGCTCCATCCACAGTTAGATTAAGCCCTTCTCAATCACATCACCCCCTTCATTTTCACACATAATCCACTGACTGCACTTGTCCATAAACCATCATGCCTTTGTTGTGAACTCATTAGTTGATTGAGCATGGGATGAAAGAACTCCTCATTTTGTTAAGTCCACATTGAGGGAGTCTAAAACGTCTGTTGTAGTCTAGCAATGTAGACTTAACAAAATGAGAAATATCCATCTGTTAACCATAAACATCTGATAACCATCTGTCGGGTGATGTCTGAGATACAGGATTATTGAAAAAGACTACATGTATCTATCTGCCTTTCTAACTATGTCTGTCTATATCAGGCTGCCTGGTTACATTACCTTTCTGACTGTCTCTGTTCATTTCTCTTCATCCCTTTAATTCAACTATTTTTGTTACCTAAACATTTAGCATGTAAGGGTCCTGTAGCCCTTGTGAAGATAGTGGGAACTCGGACATGTACAACATAACATTGGGATCAAACACCAGGTTCCTTCTGGTCGGGCCAGAAAAGGACAGTCCAGTATGAGAATAATCAGAGCAACATCCAATTCGACACATTAACAATCACCTGCTCACAAAACAAATGTTTTCCACTCACCCTATCATCTCCAGACCTCAATCCACTTGAACACCTGTGGATTAAAGTCAAGAAGATTGTTCAGAGACTGAACCTGTCATGAGAACCAGGAGCAATTGTCCCTGTAGGAACGGCCAAAAGCCCCCTTCAGTGTCAGAAGCCCACAGATCTTATCACTAAAATCAATACCACACAATGCAAAAGAATTTGACACAATACAGTGGTGTGAATTAATGTGAACTGGACTTACATGAATTCTTTATGACAAATATAAAATTGCTCCATGCAATGCTATCAATATTACAGTGCAATTTTTTAAGAACGACACATTATGCAGTTTTTATGATGTTCTTGTGGGCTGGAATGAACCTGGGGGAATCTTAATCAAGTCTGCTAACAGCTGCTACCACTCACATCTGAACAAGGGATTGATGAGGACAGCTGTGGCTGGACAAGTCCACTGTGTGGATAATAATAATAATAATAATTCATCACATGTCTGCAGCGCTTTTCTGGACACTCCACTCAAAGCGCCTACAGGTCATGGGGATCCCCTCCATCAGCACCAGTGTGCCGCCCCACCTGAATGATGTGACAGCAGCCAGAATGGGCCAGAACACTTACCACACACCAGCTATAAGTGATGAAGCCAGTTCAGAGATGGGGATTATTAGGAAGCCATGATTGGTAAAGGTCAGGAGGAAATTTGGCCAGGACACCAGGGTAACACTCCTAATCTTTTTCAGAAACACCCTGGGATTTTTAATAACCACAGAGAGACAGGACCTCAGTTTTACATCTCATCTGCAGGACATCGCCTTTTTACAGTATAGTGTCCCTGTCACTATACTGGGGCATTAGGACTCACACAGACTGCAGAGTGAGCACCCCCTGCTGGCCCCACTAAGCCCATCCGGAACCCATCCCAGTAAGCAAAGGGCCCCAGGAGAGTCCATCCCAGGGCAGACAAACACAGACACACACACTCACACCAGGGCCAGTTCTCCCAGCAGCTTATTAACCTACCGGAAAGTCTTTAGACTGTGGGAGGAAACTGGAGCACTTAGGGTAAACCCACATGAACACAGGAATAATATACCAATTCCACAAAGATCACACCCCATGTCTGGAAAGCAGCGAAGCAACAATGCTAACCACTGTGCCACCCATGTGATATAACCCTCCCTGCTAAACCTACCACCTCACAGATTCCTGGCAGACCACTGTAACCTGGCAAACTTTGTTAAGTGGGAGGCACTTGGAAACCCACCCCACACTTCCACTTGTCACAGTCATTAGTTCTTATATCTAGAAAGTGGCACAACATAGAAACACTCAACACATGATAGATCCCTTACCATATTCCACAGTGGGCAGGTCAGTGTTTCTCCTTTTTAACTCCAATCATCACACAGAAAGCTCAGTTTCCAAGTCTGGTTCTGCTGTTGCTCAGATGCAGTCTGGCAAATTCATGTCAACCAGAGAAAAAGGGTTTCTTCCTTGTGTAGAGGATACTATGCTTGTAACTCAACCATGATGTGCTACATTCATGCAGGTTACTATAACGGTTGTTTTTGACACTTTGTATCCTAGAAGTCCTGGTTCATACCGGAGATCTCCTTCTGCTGCCTAGATTTACAGATTCCTTTCAAGCCGCTTTGTGACAGTAACACAATGCAATAGTGACAGGGTGGGGTGGTCACAATTCTAGTTGCTTACAAGGTATTACTAACGGACACGGGTAGAAAATGGTAGTTTCAGCTTTTTGTAGATTCTTTTATCCTCCAGCTTGTGGAGGTCAATGAGCAGTTGCGTGATGTCTTTGGAGAGCTCTCTGACCTTCTCCATAAGGATGCTGCTACTGTAGGCCTGCATATGGCTCCATTCCATTGCTCCATTCGAAGGGCAGAATGGTACTAGAGATTTGTTTTGTTGGATGTTATTTCAGGGAGAAGGCAGGGGTGGGAATATATGTGATCCTTGTGTTCTCTGGAAATCAATTACATATTTCTGACAGACCGTTTCTAATGCATGGAGGGAAATCCCTCACACAATAACATTAGATATAGATACAGTACGTAATGGCTTGTTAAAGTGAACTCCAGCTCTGGCCCTCAGGGACAGACAGAGCTTTTCATCCCACCCACAATCTGCTCCTTCATCACACTGCTTATGTGGCTGCTACCCACTGGAGGGCTGGAACTGGCAGACACTGGCTGATGGGTAAAGTGTAGGTTCTGGAGTGCCGTGAGTCAGCCGGGGCCTGAAACTCACCTCAGGGCCATAAGACTGTATGTACTGGAGGTAGACTGAAGATGATGGCAGGAAAGGGGGGCATCTCAATTTCTCACGTAGCTGATGGCTCACACAGGGCCAGTCCCTCAATTTATGAGCTGAGGAGCAGGCAACTGCTGTAGTCTGTCCCCACACCTTCACTGAGCTGTTGGCATGAACAACTTGTTAGCAGTGATGAACTAATGTTGTCCAAAGTCCTGCGGGAACTACGCTGCACATACCTGTGACCGTCGTGGTCACGTGCGGGCTCATGCCCTCTGCCTCTCCACCCCACTGGTTCGTCCCACAACACCTGGGGCGCGAACCCGGGTCTCCGGCGTAACGCCACAGGGAACCAGCCGAACGAGCTAAAGGAGACCTCGCTCAGCCCAGGCGGCTGAGGTCCCTGCTACATGCTGGGAGGGTGAAGACATCACCATCACCCAAACTAGCTCCACTACATACCATCAACGTTGTAATAAAATATCTTGGGTCCTGCTTGGGTAAGTGAAATTCATGACACCTGGGCTAGGCTGAAACCAAAACATTGACCCACTTCTCCAATCACGAATAACAAACTCAGTGCTTGATGGAGGCCTGCTGTTTGACAGAAACCTCTCACTCCTACCTGAAGTCAATTCTCTCTGAAGTAAGGTTTATAATCAGTCTGGGCCAGGAGCTTTGTAAAATAAACTAGGGGAGTCCTGAAACCGGGCACTTTGGAAAGACAGAGCTCCCGCAAAATTCAGTTTATTTTTCAACCCCCCGTCCTTGTTTAAATTAAAGTTTTTGAAAAGCGCTGGTTAGGCAAACAGTTAATTTAAAGGGTCCAGTTAGCCTAAATAATTAAGGCTCCACCTGGAAAAACAAGAGATTGTGTGGAAGAGTTGTAGAACAGGGGGAGTGAAAGCAGGGCAGATGGACTAGCAAGCAGAGAGCAAGCGAGGGAGTAACCACAGCACAGCCACCCGGAGGGAAGGGCAGATGAGAGGGGCTGTGGGAAAGAGCTGGGGAGGGCAAAAGGCAGGTGCAGAAGGAAAGGGAATGGAGAGAAAAAGGGGATGGAAGAAAGGAGGAGAGAAAAAAAAGAAAATACGCTAAGAAAATGCACCGGGCCGCCGACACACACCTGGTCTGAGGTCATGTTTGAGCTTGCCAGCCTCTCTGTCAGGGCTTGGACCCGGCTGGGGTCCTATCCCCCCTCTAGCTGTGCTGTCTTGTCAACTGCCCGACTGTCTGCTGGTCAACAAGCTTCTAACAGCACCAATTAACATTTTTACCTGCAGCTTACCACCGCCTCAAAGACCTTGTGTGCTGACTCTGCGGTCCCCGAGCAAAAGCCCTTCCCCTTTTTTCATTTTCATTCCCACAATGGCATCTAAAGACACCCCATGACAACAACAACATGACAACAAGATCCTGACCCATCTATCCT